ATGCTCGCCCTCAGATGGCCTCCTCATACCCTGCAATGGCCCTCCCAGCAGGAGGCACCCTCTCTCTTCCATCTCCCCTCTTCCTGGCCTAGCACAGCATGGCCAGCAGAGAGGAGGGTCCCTGTGCCACCCGCCCCTCCAGCACGGGACCCTAGTACCTGGGACCTTACGATCATGACACTTCCGTGAGGAGCAGGGTTCTCAGCACACATACCCACAATTACAAGTCACATCTCGTGAGGTCCACTTCATCAACGCCCCAACAGTGTTCTCTCCTGAGAACCCCACCCCCCCAACGTTGTCCTCTCCTGAGAAACCCCTCCCATGGTATCCTCTTCTAAGAACCCCACCCCCCGATGGTGTCCTCTGATTGCTACAGAGTCTGCTCCTCTGGTTAAGGAAGAGAAGTGTGTGACCGTTGGTATGCTCACCTCCACCACTGTGGCACTGTCAGTCCATCTCAGAAAGGGGCCCTTCATTTTTGCTGGCTCTCTGTACATCAAACAGATGTCTTTTTCTAGCAATTGGCCTTTCCTAATGAAATGTTCAAACTAAATGAGTCAGTCTCACCACCCTCAATTCTGTTTGCATTTCTTCTAAAGTTGACTCATTTGATCCTCCGGCATTGAATCCGACTCAAAGAACGCTATGGCATGATCTCCCCTATCAGCAAGTCTACTGGGTCTCCAACCCTTTGAAATGAAGTCTGACTTCAACAGGAACAGATCAAGGCCCCAAGCTCTGTTGCCTTCACAAGCAGGGGACCAGGCAGGCACAGACACCAAGAAGGGAGTCCTTCAGAGCAGGAGAGCATTTGAGTATTTCCTATCGAGCACTGTTAAGTGTCAGAGAACTGATGCCTGGGGCACTCAGGACTGGCCTTCAGCAAAAACATGGACAAGCACAACAGATCACGCCCCTGCCAGAACATCACTCTACCCTCCCTGCAGGAGTTGTTGTTGGTGTGTCACTGAGTCAAAACCGACTCACAGCTGACCCTCCAGCAGGTTTTCAGAGACAGTAAACAGCACAGGAGGAGACCATCCATCCTTCTGCAGAGCAGCTGGTGGGTTCAAACTGCATGTCTTTAAGGTTGCAGTGCACAAAACCTAGAGGAAAAGGACAAATTCCTTGAAACTCAAGCCCCACCCAGATAGACAAGGACAGATTGAACACTTGAACAGATCTATCACAATAGAAGATACTGAACAGGTCATAAAAAGACTTCCACATAAGAAAAGTCCTGGACCAGATGGCTGCACAGGTCAATTCTACCAAACATTCACGGAGGATCTATCACCAATTGTACTTAAATTATTTCAAAAAACAGAAAAAGAATGAATACTCCCAGAGTCATTCTATGAAGTAAGCATAGCCCTGATATCAAATCCAGGCAAAAATATTACCAAGAAAGAAAACTACATACCAATATCTCTTATTAATATAGATGGCAAAAATCTTTAACAAATCCTAGCCAACGGAATCCAAAAGCACATTTAAAAAATTAATTCATTATCACCAAGTAGGATTCATAACAGGTATGCAAGGATGGTTCAGTACAAGAAAAACAATCAACATAATTCACTATATCAACAAAGTAAGTAACAAGAACCATATGATCTTAGCAATTGATGGAGAAAAGGAATATGACAAAATACAGTACCCCTTCCTGATAAAAGACACTCAGCAAAATTGGAATAGAAGGGAATCTCCTCTACTTAGTGAAAAGTATATATGCAAAACCAAGAACCAATGTCATTCTCAATGGAAAAAGACTAAAAGCATTTTCCTTGCAAACAGAGACCAGACAAGGATGCCCGCTGTCACTACTTCTATTCAGTGCTGTACTGGAAGTGTTTGCTAGGGCAGCACGACAAAAGAATAAAAGGCATCCAGATTGGCAAAGGGATGGTTAAAGAATTGCTAATGCAGATGATATGAGGGTGTACACAGAAAGTCCTGAGGACTCAACAAAGCACTGTTAGAGCAAGCAGACCAATGTAAGGATATAAGATCAATACCCAAACATCAGATTGCAGCGCAGCTTCTTACCACTAGGCCACAGAGCAGAGGAAAGGCATAACCAAAACAAAAACAAAGCACTTTACCACTCAGCCTTTCTGACTCCCTGGGGCCCTGTGGGACACAGAACTGACCCATAGGGTTTGCTGGGCTGTAAGCGTCACACCTTGCTCCGGTGGCGGTGGCGGGGCTGGTGAATTTAAACTACAGACCTTGTGAGGGGCAGCTGAGAGACTAAATCAGCACACCACCAGGGCTGGCGACCACACGGGGGACTGCACTGGTGCGGGATGCAGGGACACACCTTCCACATCTCACTGAGGTCCTTCAGCCATAACAACTCAGGAAATCACAGCTGAACCAACGAGTCCTGACTCAGACCTGGGGACACTAAAGCGGGGGTTCACCTGGACACACACAGGCACTTTCCAGATTTCTACGTCGCCCTGTGCCGGAATAACTTTCACAAGGGATTTTTTTTTTTAACGTTTAAAAAGTCCTGCTTAGGTCTAAAAACTAGAAAGTGCCATCAGGCCCGATACACGAATACTGGGGGCGGGGACAACGTGGAGAAGGGGAGCCAGGAGGGGTGTCAAGAGCAGGCGGGGGCGGCGGATGGGACGGTGGACGCCCGAGAACGCGCGGCCCGGGCGGCGGGGCGCGGCCGCTGTTCCTAAGCGACGAGTCCACCGTCACCGCCGACGGCCCCGGGGGGCCAGCACCGCGGGGGTCACAGCACCCCAGGGGTAAAAGCAGGGGTCACACAGCACGGCGTGGGCTCGAAGCCAGACCAGGGCTCTGCCCCGCGGGCTCCAAGCTCTTCTAAACTCCCGTCGTCCGCCCCCTCCACTGACAGCGCTGGCCGGGGACGCGGGGCCGGACGAGCCGCCCGGCGGAGGGAGAGGACTGACAAGGACGTGCGCCCCGGGCCCCGGCCACACCTACCCTGCAGGAGCCGGATCTGCCGCCGCAATTGCTCCTTCTCCTCCATCACCGGACACCGCGACGCCCGGTCACGCCCCTGCGACGTCATCTCGCCGCGTCGCTGTCCCCGCGGAAGGGGCGGGGCGGGCAGAGCCGGAAGTGCGGGTGCTGTGACGCGCGCTCCTCAACGGCCACGCCACGCCCCCTTCCCAGGGTCCCCCGGGAGGTGGGGCCGCGCACGCGCAGCGCCACACCGAGCCTGCGGCGTCATCACTGTGCGCTGGGAGGCTGACAGCTGTCGCTCAGCTGTGTCTGATAGGAAAGCGAGAGCACCGCGGCCAGTCCCCGCCCGGGGCGGCCATCAAGACCATGTTCGCTGCCACCTCCTGACGTCCGCTGAGGATCGAGTACAAGGAGCTGAGACTGGAGCCCGGCAGCCTCGGTAATCCACCCTGCCGTCTTTTGCCTGCGGCCTCCGCGTCGAGTGGGAAAGGGACCTAGAAGGAGCTGACAGAGGGGCCCACGGAGGCCCTGAATGTCAGGCCCTGGAATAAGAGAGATCCCAGGCGGCCTGAGTTCGAAGCTAACCTCCGCGGGTTATGATGGCGAGGAAGTTCCTAACCTCGTCCGTAAAGGGCTGTAATACTGAACTGATCTTAAGAGGTCAGTTGTAGAGCTCTCCGCGAAAGGGTCTAGCTCTTCAAAGTCTCAAACTCGCTGCTGTTGAATCCGTTCCAGCTCACATACCTGACACTCTTTCGGGTTTCTGAAGCTGTAAATTGCATGAGAGGAGATTGCCAAGCTTTCTCCTGCGAAACCTTAGTGGATACGAACAGCTAGCCTTTGAGAGCTCTGGTTCGTGTGTGTGTGTGTGTGTACCATCAAATCAGATCTGACTGGTACAGGAGGAGATTGTCCCTCCTTCCCCGGCAGAGCATCGGGTGGATTTGAACCATGCGCCTCTGGTATTGTAGTGCAGCTTCTTGCAAGAGCTTTGACTGGTTCTTAGTGGTGGTGCTTTGTACCCTCAGGTCATAACTGACTTCTAACTGCCTCTCCGGCAGGTTTTCAGAGGCAATAAATGGCCTGAGGAGAAGCTGGTGGATTCGAACTGTGTGCTTTTGAGTTGGTAGCACAGTTCCTTAGAACTAAGGGACCTAAAACGTAACCTTGTTATATATTCCTGCTGTTTTGTTTTACTATCATCGTTTTAATCCATCCCATATCCGTCCCTAAGGACCATTACCTTCCCCAGGTAACAGATTTGGAATATTTTATTCTTTTTTTAATTTGTTTCTACTTAAGTTGCATACAAAATTAATATACATTGTGTTTCATACGATCATTCCCATACATTGCATTTTAGAAAAACAATCCCCAATAATCTACAACTATTATCACCCCGACTTTTCAGGTCTCAGTTGAACCTTCGCCTTCCTCTTACCATCAGTTTCTGTGACCCAATGATTCTAACCTCCACACTCAACCCCCTGCACTCCTCTTTGCCCTTTGGACCCTTGTACACATCCTACTAGACACCTTCTATTTTTACAATAATAGTCTCATGCAGTATTTGTATGAGACTGAGTTACTTCATTAAGCATAATATTCTCTATCCTCTCCAATGTTATATAGGATTTTTTTAAGTTGTTGCTCCTGAATACTGCATAAAATTCCATCATGTAAATAAACCACACTTTCCCAATCCAGTCATTTCTTGATGTTTCCATGTTCTTGCTATTGGGAATAAAAATGTGGTTGTTGTTTGTTTTGTTTTGCTTTTAGCTTCTCTAATACTGTTGACCTGACAGAGTGTGAAAATTATCCAACAGTATCACTAATGTCACACACTAGCAAGATTCTATCAAAGATTATCCAAAAACTATTGCAACAGTGCATCGCCAAAGACTACCAGATGTGCAAGCAGAGTTCAGAAGAGGCCGTGGCACTAGGGACATTATAAATAATGTCAAATGGATCTTAGCTGAAAGCAGAGAATACAAGGAATGTCCATCTTTGTTTCATTGACTATACAAAGGTATTTGACTGTGGATCACAACAAATTGTGGCTAACCTTGAGAAGAATGGAAATTCCAGAACACTTGATTGTGCTTATGCAAAACCTATACTATATTAATTGGATCCACAGTCAACACCCAGGGAAGAGCAGTCAAGCAATCAAAAGATGTGTTGCATGAGGAAAATCTGCTGTCTAAGACTCTCCAAAGTGTCAAAAAGCAATGATGTTACTTGAAAGCCTAAAGTACGCCTGACCTAAGCCATGTGTTTTTTTCCCAGTGATTTCCTGTGCATCTGAAAGCTGGGCAGTGAATAGATTGACAGAAAAGAATTGATGCCTTTGAGCTGTGGTATAGGAGGAGCACTGAACATTTGTGGACGGCCAGAAGAACAGCTCTGTCTTGGAGAGGGTGCAGCCAGAGGACTCTCTGGAGGGAAGGATGATGAAGCTTCGTCTCACAGACTCGGGCGGGTTGCTGGGAGAGGCTGGTCCTTGGAGAGAGACATGGTGCTCAGAAAGAAGGAGGGTCTGCGAAGGTGAGGAAGACCCTCAACCAGGTGTATCATACAGTGACTGCAGCAGTGGGCTCTAGTGTGTCAGGCAGTGTGAGGATGGCACAGGACAGACCAGGGTTCAGATCTGATGAATCATACAGTTCTTCTGGAAAATACAGGAGAGTAACTTCACAACCTTTGGATGGGCAAAGGCTTCTAATTCATGACCCAAAAGCATAAACTAAAACAGCCACCCCCCAACACCCCCCAAAAAAATAATGTGGTAAATATTTTGACTGGAATGGAGTTTCTGAGTTAATAAGGGAAATAAAATTCCTTTTATAAACAAAACTCAGAAAATATATGCAAATAAATATTTAGGCAAAGAGAGGCAAACTTGCTATGGCCATCAGGCTGTTAGCAAACTGGAGTGCAGTTATTGAAACAAGCCTTTGTGCTGGACCTACCTGTTTGCTTCTCTGGGAACCTGTCACTGGGTGGATGAGCAGGGCTCACCTGCTTCCCTCGCCCCAAGCACCGTCTCTGCCAGCTATCTGCCAGGCTCGTGAGTGAGGCAGGAAGACATAGGGTGCTGAGATAAACCTGTACATCCAACCCCCGTAATCAGGAGCAAATCTGTGCATATTGTTTAAGCCACTAAGTTTTGGGGTGACTTGCTACACAGCAGAAATTTACCAGCATTGCACAAAAGCTTTACTGTCCTCTCTCTGCTGGACCAACTTCCTGTCCCTGGCCTCCATTATAGGGCCACTGGGATGGGAGCTGACCATGTGCTAAGAGGGACAGGGTTTATGGGTTTGTAAAACTGCATTGGGAAGTAAGTTATGTTAGAGTTCACTTGCTAAACTGGATTTTCCAAGTTTACAGGAACAACACAAAAGAAGGCTGGGGATGGACACCCAGCTTGAAGAATGTCATCAAATTGTCAACAAAGAAACTACTGAATTATTGTGTTTTCTGTTCATATTCTCAACAACAGCAAAGTAATTTCTTTTAATATAGATTCTAGATAGCTATCCAACTACAAAAGATTAAAACGGTCTGCCTTCAGTCACAGCAAAGACACCGAGGGCCGGGCTCTGGTCTGGGAACAGCCAGCACCCTCTGGCATGAGGTCTGTGCTGCCCACATCCTGGATGCCTGCTGAGGACTTTCACTTTTAAAAGCAATTCATTTAAGGGAGATCTGGTGGCCTAGTGGCAAGAAGCTGCACTGCAATCCCAGAGGTATGTGGTTCCAATCCAACAGATGCTCTCCTGGAGAAGGAGAGGCAATCTCCTTTATCAGTCAGATCTGATTTGATGGTACACACACACACACAGAGCAATTAATTCAAAATAAATTCTAAAATACACATAAAGATTCATAATCAAAATGTTGAGTGTAGTATTTGTTACAAATGCCAGATAAAAACAAATAGCATATTTATAGTACTTGTATTATGCCAGGCCCTGTTGCAGTGTTTAATAATAAATCCTAGAAAGAGCCTGGCTCCTGGCACACCCTGGAGGGGGCCTGGCAGGTGGCACCACCAGCTGGAAGCACTAACACCTGTGCTAGCACTTTCTCCCCCTGCCTTCATCCACTGCATTTCTTGGCATGTCGGATATAAACAACTCCAGCTGTAATCAGGAAAACAAAATCCTGGGGTGCTGGGGTTCAAATCCTAGCAACCTCATGTCGCCACAGAAGAGCTGTACCCCACAGAATTGTCAGTGGCTAGTCCTGTCAGCCCCTAGGTGGACTGGAACCACCAACCATTCTGTTTACTGGTGAGCACCTTAACCTTACAGCCCCATCAGAAGGCCTCCAGGGGAGGAATCCACAGATAGGGAAGGGGTGGCAGGGGAGCCTTGGCAGGCCAGCCGCCTACCCACCCTCTGGGGAAGTCAAATTCAGTTACTCAGAGCCTACTCAAGTCCCCTCCAGGTTCCAGTATTCTGTTCCCCAGCTCTTGTGGCTACCCACCTGGCTCAGTTATCTCACCAGTAAGCAAGGTGAGCGCTGGCTTCCTTAAAATCTGTCGAGAACTATATGAAATCGAAGATGTGAAATTGTTGTTGGGAAAGTGGACAGGAAGGAGGGAGGAGAGGGGGCATGAGGAGAGGATGAGGTGGTCTTGGAGTGCAGGGGGGCGTGTCTTGGAGTGGAGATGTGGTCAGGATGGGGAGAAGTGGTCCAGGAGGAGGAGATGAGGTCCAGACATGAGGACACAGGTCTTGGAGGGGGATGAAGTCCAGGAGGGGAAGGTGCGGAGGGTGGTCTCATATGATCCGGGCTGCAGGGGTACAGGATGTGACTGAGCTGTGGGCCTCTGGTTGGCAGGCAGGGCAGCGGCCGTCCACAGTATGGATGTGCAATCCTGAGGTTGCATTTGTTGGTAAAATGTGTTTGGAAATCGCTCCCAGCCTCAGAGCCTGCGAGAGGCAGATGTGGGGTGGAACAGGGTGGCAGCCGGGTGGTGGGAGGGAAGTGGGGGAGAGGGTGTGAGAGGAAGGGCAGGAGGGCAGGTAAAGGTGAGCTGGGAGGGGC